AAATTATACAGCGCAGGAAGTGAAAATTCGGACATAGCTAAGAACTGGTATTCGTAGAGGCGGCCAGAATCGCGCCCAGGTGTGGTTACGTGGCTGCGGTGGTCAACTGTAAAGGGACATGCAAGACGAGTTCTACGGAGCAAACGCCACTCGCTGAGACGGCCGGATGGATGGGTGAATGGATATGGCTGTACCCTTTAGATCGGGTGGTGGCTAGTGCGACCAAGCCGTAACACTTATTGAACCAAAAACTAGATTTATTTTTTCCCTTTAAATAGGGAGGTTGATGATTCGTACTTTGCAGTGAAGCGTTCAATTTTCACTCATGCCTTGACTTTAGCCACCAATTATATAACCTCCTTCTAGTTAGTTCTACCCGCTTAAAGTCTATTTTGCCCTCTCTGTCTCTAAACCCAACTGCTTTGAAAAACTCTGCACCATCATCCTGAACTATAAAGCGCAGCCCTTTACAGAACATTATCAAGTGTTCGGCAGTTTCATCTTCCTCTCCACATGCACTGCGTACCGTGTCTACCCCTTCGTATTTGGCCCGATATGTCTTGGTCTGCAATACTCCCGTCCTGGCCTCAAACAGTAGAGAACTACCCCGATTATTATCATTGATCCTTTCCTTGGCAATTTGTTGCTTAAAAGTTCGATAGACCTCTAGTGCAGACTTCTTAATCATGCCAATTTTCCACATATCGGTCTCAGCTTCCTTCACCTTCTTCTTAACCAATAATTCTTTTTGGTTTGGTCCTCTGCCATTTTCTAAGTATTTACCAGTCAATTTTCTCGTTCGCTTCCTCCATTTTGTATCGACATTCTTCATGTGCAAGTAGCCCAATACCTTCCTAGCCCAACGCTCCTCCCCCAATTCCCTCAATCGCTTTTCAAATTTTATCTTGCTGCTAGCTTCCCTGCCCTCAAATTATGTCCATCCCATGTCACCTTGTACTCCCTGATTTGGTGTATTCTCGTGAGCTCCTAAAGCAAGCCTACCTGTTCCACGTTACTTATTTCTAATCTTGCTTGAACTTCTGATCTCATGCACAAGACCGCATTGCCGAACATCAGCCCAGGAACCATGACCACTTTCCATATTCCTCTCACAACACCATACCTAATGTAATTCCACAGTGCCCTATTTTTCATGACTGCTGCATTCCTGTTACCTTTAGTCGTTACGTATATTTCGTGTTCCCTCAGACACTCGGTCCCATTGCTTACCCATACGCCCAGATATTTGTATTTATCTGTTATCTCTAGCATGACCTCCTGTATCCTAAGCTCACTACCTTCGTTGTCATTAAAAATCATGACTGCTGATTTTTCCTTACTGAATCTATAATCTAACCTATCTCCCTCATTACCGCAGATGTCCATCAATCTCTGCAAATCATCCTTGTTGTCGGCCATTAGCAGCATATCATCTGCGTACATCAATGCTGGTAGGGCCTGTTCAATGAGTTTTCCTTGTTTGACGAAAGAGAGATTGAAGCCCAGTCCACTTCCCTCTAATTTGGCCTCTAATCCTTGTAGGTACATCATGAATAATAAGGGTGACAGGGGACACCCCTGCCTAAGCCCCCGTTTTACCCCTTCAGGCTTGGATACCTGTTTTTCCCACTTTATAACTACCTTGTTACCTTGACAGATATCCTTTAAAAGATTAGTGGCTGCATGTTCCACGCCTAGTGTGTCAAGTATTCTCCATAATTCCTCTTGAACTACGAAATTGTACGCTCCCTCGATATCCAAAAATGCTAGCCACAGAGGCCTGTGTTCCTTTTCTGCTATATCGATGCACTGCGTCAGTGAGAACAGATTGTCCTCCGACCTCCTGTGTTTCCTAAACCCATTCTGCAGTTCCCCCTGCACCTCATCCTCTATCTACGCTTGGAGTCTTTCCTTTATAATCTGCATCGCCAGCCCGTAGGCCACTGATGGCACTGTTATAGGACGGTAGTTGTTTATGTCAACTTTTTCCCCCTTTCCTTTAAAGATCATGCTCATCCGGCTAAGTTTCCATCCATCGGCGACTTCACCATCGATTAATATTTTGTTCACTGCCTCTCTCACAGCCTGCTTCGACTTCGAACCTAATGTCATTATCAGCATGATTGGGATGCCATCTGGGCTTGTTGATGTACTACTAGGAGCCCTTTTCTCAGCCCTTTCCCACTCTGGTTGTGAAAATGGAGCCATTGCGCCACTTGATTCATCCTTGTCTATTGTAGTGCATAAAGCACTTCTTTGTTGAAGTTTTTCTGTTACCCTTGTTCTTATATATTCAATAGCTTCGTCCCCTTCTAACCTAGCACCTTGAGCTGTAGTTATAAACCTCGGCTCTAGGCTCGTCTCCTTTCTTAGGGAGTTTAGATGGTTCCGAAATTTCGCAGCTGCCTTTCTATCTTTTTTGTGTACTTCTGCCAGCCACTGAGCTCCCTTTCTTTTATACTTTTCATTGATCAGAAGAGACGCATCCCTTCTACAGCTTAGAAAGATTTCCCATTTTCTTTCAACATCATCTGCCGGTTCACCCCGCTGCTTAGCATGTCTGTGTTCCCTAGAGGCTTTCTGACGTGTTGCTATGGCTCTCTTAACTTCCTCATCCCACCAACTTTTGGGTTTGTGTCTTCTTTTCCGGGGTGACTTGTCACGCGCCTTAGCAAGCTCTAGCTCAAACAGTCTAATTAGATTCGTGTATGACCACACTGTTTTATTATCCTCATTGATTACTTTCTGAATTTGTTTAGTAGCTATTTCAATTTGCCTTTCTGAATAAAAATTTTCCTGTAGTTGCTAATCTTGTCTCCTTCCCACTTTCACTGCTTTTCCAAAACTTAGCTTGATACGTTTGTGATCACTACCCAGACTTCTGGAGCCACCTTCATCTATGTGCCTTCCCCTGAGCTTATCATACATCCTACTTGACATCAGTGCGTAATCTATCGTCAACTGCAGCCTTCCTACCTCCCATGTTATTTGCCCTTCACACTTCTCGGTACTGTTGCAAATGATCAAATCAAGCCTTTCACGCATATCCATGATCATTTTGCCTGTCGGGTCGGTATACCCATCTATATCTTCGATGTGCGCATTCATATCTCCTAGTATAATTATCTCGCACTCTCCCCCTAACTCCTGAATGTCCTTTGATATACACTCTACCATTGCCTGGTTTTCCTCTCCGGCCTTTGCTTCCGTGCAGAAGTACACGAAACCAAGGAGTGTCATTTGCCCTGCCACTTTCCCTTTTAGCCGTAAATGTTCGTTGCACTCCTGCTCGACCCTTTGCCAGCCTGTACTTTTATGAATGAATGCCCCAATACCACCCCCCTTTCTGCTGCCTTCTGTTCTATTACAATATTCCCACGCGTAGTCTGCATTGTTAGGAGGTTGTTCCATGTCCCCGAGATGTGTTTCTACAAAACAGTATACCATCGGCCTCTCCTCCCTTAGCTGTTCTTCCATCTCTTCCCACTTGAGCCTGTTCGTACCACCCAGCATGTTAATTCTGCGCTGTGGCCGAGGAGGTGGCCACAGCGCTCGCGGTGGTGACCACCGTATCCGAAGTAGTAAATAGCGACGACCCGCAAGCACAAATAAGTAACTATTCTAACGGCCGTGTCTCCCAAGAGGAGCTGCGGATCCTAATGAGTAACAAAGAAAAAATTGGGTTGAAAAAAGGTACTTTCATCTTATGAACCCCCGCACACACACACAAACCCCGCTGGCCGGCAACGAGGTGGCTCGTGCACTCACAAACCGAGCGGTTGGGAACGCCGACGCCGCCTCGGCCCACGTTCTACGCGGGAAGAGTTGGAATGAACCGGATGACTAGTTACCATGAAACAACGCAGCACTACAAGCTAGGAAGGCGAAAATACCCTCCGCCACACAACATGATAAATAAAAAACAAGCAGTTGCGTGGCGACACCTGCAAACACATACTTATCCCAATCCACTTCTCTTTAGTCTCTGGTATACCCTGATCTGTTCTTTAACAGTAAAATACAAGCTTTACGATGACAGGGCCACACTTACCCATATACTATGGGAATGCTTGAGTTTAGATGACAGCAAAGACAGAAAGCACGAAAAGGCAGTCTCGGACCGCAAGGCGCGCTGAGAGGGGGCTCTGTTTAGCTCCTTATTGGAACAACTATGGGCCGTCCAGCGAGCCGAAGAAGCCGCCCGTGCTCAAGGGTTCGTGGTCGATGCCTAGGCTGGGGCCCACTTTAAATCAACTTCGCTTGACTTCTTCAGGAAACTGGCTAGCGGACGCTGCCTGTGTCAGAGTTGCGAGGCGAGACAGGGAGAGGTAACGTGCCCAGTATTCTACCGCTGAGCCATGCTGGTGTCCGCAAACTGACCCTTGGCAGGCTTGACGTCGGGAAAGTAATAAAGCATTTTATAAAAGCAATGGAACAACCAGGTGTTGCACAATGTGAATCGCATGATGACTTGGCCGTGCAATGCTCCAACCTAATACGAAAGCTTGTTCTTGATCTCTGATAACGGTGGAGCATGCCCACTTCAGGCATAATTATTCATTTATCAGCCGCTGCATAAAAAATGCACTAAATTTCTTGCAAGTGTGTAGCGGATGCCACGTTCTTCAAAAAATTAGGAAAGACGACATAATGAATCCAGGCCTGCAACACAATAATTATGATTATTTATGGCGTAGGGGGTACCCAGCAAGTGGTCTTTTAGCAGTTAACCAAAGAGTGTTTAGAAAAATCTCTGACAGGTTACTCTTCCAGCTTTCGCTGTGACTGCGCTGCGCGTTCTGTGCAAGCCTGGTGGTTTTTTAGGGAATATTATTGAGAACTCAATAATGATGATGACTTCTCGGTAATGTTCAGCCTAACGAAGAAAAACGAGCCCTGCTTACACTTGTTTCCTTGTTCCTTTTTGTAGTGTTGTAAGCGATCCCGTGCGTGATATAGGTCCGCAGTTCAGACGTATGCATGTTCTTTTTTCCCCACAGCTGTGTGCTGCGACCACGTGGAAGGAGGGATGTACATCGGGCCCGAGTTTCAGCTGGGCCAAGTGTACGATGGCTCCCTGGGTGTCGAAGAGGGCGAGACGGTGGTGTTGTACAGGCCGGTGTACGTGTCCATTCGAAACCCTACTCGCGGGAGCAGCAACGCCACCGCCGGCGCGTCGTCTGCAACAGCTACGAGCGACGACTCGGTCGGCGTCGCGTAACGCTCCCGCGTCGCTTTTCCGCCACGGTTTCTGTTTTGCGCTAGACGGTCACGAATCGCAGTACCGACCAGTGCATCCGCCGACAAAAGAGAGAGAGAAGGTTATTTAGCGACCACGTAGCACAGGCATGTATGCAAAATAAACATTAGAAAATTGGGAAACGCTGCTTGAATGCTTCCAGGGTTAATTGTTTACGGCTCCGTGCCATGCCTTGTAAAAAGTCCTGTGAGGCCTGATATCTTAAAACGTGTGGAACTGAGCTTGTTGGTATATCTTCGCTTGCCAGCGCCTGGTCCTGTTCTCTCTGTTGCGACGTCTTTCGCAGTCGGAAACCTAATACTTTTTGCAGCTCAGTATTCAGCGAATATTTTTTTGCCTCATGAAGAATTCGTCGACAGGTCTTGAGCAAAGGTGGGCAACGGATGAAAGAATACGATGACGAGCGCTAAAGGCAAATTTTTTGATTTACTGAAACCCGCGGATAAATAAATATACAATGCTTGGACGCTTGATGCCCCAGCCATCGCGTAAGAAGGATGCCATTTGCAACTGAGATGTCGTGTGTTTTGTCTGTGTCCTTGTTGTTCTTGTAAACTAAGACAGTTTTTACTTCTTATACGCAACCTTTGTTGGGTTCCCTGTGTTTCACCCGGGACTTTCTTACCAGCTCGACAGACTCCTGTCGAATGTCCACTTATAAATCATTAAGGCTGGTGCACACCGGCGACTAGCAGCGGTCGTGCGACCATCCAGACTGGCGACCAAAAAGCCACTGATGTTCACACCAGAACACCGACAGAGGCTGCATACGAGTGACCGGCAGCCGCGAAACTGGAGAGTCACGTCCGGATCTCTTTATCAGTGAGAACTCTGGAGACCGGCGCCGATAAGCTGATCGCCGCCAGCTCAGTGAGCATAGCAAACCGAGCGCGCTGCATTTATTGTTTCTCTCCGTTCTAGCACAGCGTTTCGACAGAGTCAATGAGTTAGATTCTAGCGATCAACAAGAGATTGTCATGGTGCTAGTGCACTGTGCCATGGTGTCAGCGCTCGCAGCACAGATGCCGCCCCCCCCCCCCCCAAAAAAAACCGTTGGTGGGTGCGACCGTCCCTTCAATCGCGAGAATTGGTTGGCCATGCAAGCTGTCTACCTTTCGAGCTGCACTGAGACGACGAGGAGTATTTCCGAGAGTGGTACGTATTCAGAAACGCTCCTGATTTTATCTTGACTTGCCACAGTCTCCAATGCAGCACGAATGCGTCTCTAAAGCGGTGTGTTAAGTCGTCGCCAATGCAAGAAGCACACACGCGTTCCAAACGCGTTGCATTGAAAGCGGTGACAAGTCAAGTTCAAGACAAAAAATAATTCTGAATACTGGGGCAAAATAGCGCACAATTTCTTTTCTCTTTACTTTGACGGTGTGTAGGATCTTGGAAATGCCGCGACGTAAATTCGACATTTTTCTCGAGCTGCTGCGCCCAGCCATCTCCAAGCCAAGTATTCTGTGGTGGCTATGGGGCCACAGACCCAGAGGAACCCACTCGTTTGTATCTGGTGGCAGTAGGCTAGCACAATAAAAAAGAAACAAAAAATTGAGCACTGCTGAGTGGTTCCAGCAGCTTTGCGACTGCGAACTGAAAAATTGGTCAGGAAGCGACTAGCCAAAGCAGTCGCTTTGCGACCGTTTGCGGCCGTTCGCGAATGGTCGCGCGACCACTGCTGGTCGCCGGTGTGCACCAGCCTTTACGCTTCAATGTCGGCCCAGTGACAGCGCTGCAAGCAAACCCTTGCGTGGGCTCCACACGCAGTGTGGCGGTGTTGCAGGCAAACCTTGACTTCTTCACCTCTTGGGACCTGAACCTGGTGGTGCCTCGGGGCCTTCGCGTCAAACTCTTTTTTCACACCAGCGAAGGTAACAGGGTCTTGGCCTGAGCCAAGTGCCGCTAAATTATCGACCGTAGCGGCGAACGTGAAACAACGGAAAGAAAGGATGCGCGTATTGTTGCGAGATCACACCGATGCTCTGCCACATCATGTGGGAATAGATGGTCTCCACCGAAGATCAAGAAAGAAGGATTCAGTCATTGATGTCAAGCCCTGCTTTTGGGCACCGGCTCAGGCGGGTCTGAACGACCGAAAGGCATTCCCGGGTTTTGGGGCATCTGCAAGTGGCGTCATCTATCAGTGACAGCAACGGCGTTCTGCTGCAAATAAATGAAAAGTAGGCGAAAAAGCTCCTATCTGATGAAAAAAATCATCAAAAGTAACTCCCGGGTATATGCATCAGAGACACACTGCAAAGTTCTACCAATTTCACTCTATTGCATTGCAAAGCCAGTAGCTTCCCAGGGCAATTGAACACTGCTCGTTAGAAACACGTGATGCCCCAGTGTTGAAACGCTCAACCACTCTGGAAAGCCATGTGGTTTGTAGTGAGACACTACAAATTTACGAGAATGCTCCAGTGGTTTTCTTCTGTGTATAACCGGGAGTTACTCTTGGTAACTATTTTTTAAGGTGTGATTTCTTCCGCCTATTTCTTTTACAGTTAAGACACGTCACTGCTGTCACCGATGAGAGATGGTATTACGTGTACATGTCCCCGAATACTGGTCGTAGTGGCGAGGACCAGTGGTGCCTTGGAATATGGGCCCGACCGTAAGGCATTGCCCTGTTGCAGAGGAAAAGAAGTTTTGTGCGTAAATAAAGTTTTGTTCTTCTTCTTCTTCCTGGCCTTTCTTCATGCGACTACACCGTAAATGCCGCATAGAGGGATTTGTTCCTGCTAGAAAGTGTTTGGCGCGTTCCGTCGCCTCAAGCTCAGCGGAGAAGCAACGCATTTACCAGAGTAAGAGGCACAGAAGCTGAGTCCCATTGTCTCGGATTTGGTATTTAACCTCTGGAGAAAGTTGCTGCCCAAGGCCACAGCTGCGACTTAATTCTAAAGCACACCTCTCTTGATTATGTCAGCTTTGGAGGACGGTATCTGTCGATCTTACACAAATTTCTAGTAATCAGTAAGGCTAATGAATCAAACAATATGTGGGGTTTAACGTCCCCAAAACCATCATATATGATTATTGGAGACGATGTAGTGGAGGGCTAGAAAGTGTTTGTTCCTGCTAGAAAGTGTTTGGCGCGTTCCGTCGCCTCAAGCTCAGCGGAGAAGCAACGCATTTACCAGAGTAAGAGGCACAGAAGCTGAGTCCCATTGTCTCGGATTTGGTATTTAACCTCTGGAGAAAGTTGCTGCCCAAGGCCACAGCTGCGACTTAATTCTAAAGTACACCTCTCTTGATTATGTCAGCTTTGGAGGACGGTATCTGTCGATCTTACACAAATTTCTAGTAATCAGTAAGGCTAATGAATCAAACAATATGTGGGGTTTAACGTCCCCAAAACCATCATATATGATTATTGGAGACGATGTAGTGGAGGGCTCCAGAAATTTTAACCATTTGGGGTTCTTTAACGTACGCCCAAACCGCAGCACATGGGCCTACAGCATTTTCGCCTCCATCGAAAATGCAGCCGCTGCAGTCGGGATTGGATCCTGTGGCTTGCGGGTCAGCAGCCAAGTAGCTTAGCCACTACGCCACCACGGTGGGGTGATCAGTAAGGCTAAAGGAGATTCTAATACTATCATATGTACATATATTTGTATATGTCACAAAAATGTAAGTAACGGATTGCAATTACAATATCTTCCTCAAAAATGTGTAGGTGGTCCGTCCTATGTACGGCTGACGCAGAAGCCTAGCTAATGTATCAGCTGCACACAGTCGTACCATGCACGATTAACGTCCCCTATTCGTCGCCTGTCTTATTGTAGCTATATGGATTCGGACGAATAAGGCCTGCGTTTCATATTATCGAGCTGATAAACTAGCGAGTAAACTTTCTCTCACACTCGGTACGGCCCGGATCATTTCGGTTTCAGTGAGGAAGAAAACGGTTTGCTAGCATCGCTGAGAACATGATGGCGCCACAGTGCCAGATAGCCCACTTCGTAGTGTACGTTCCGATTCGTGCGGTCGTAATGCACCTTCGGCTGTACCCTAGCAGTGCTGAGGTTATGCCGAGCTTTGTGTAAAGCTTCTGCTAGCTTCTCGCGCAGGTGCATTGCGTATTCAGCGCGTGCATGAGGTCGCCAGAGGCACTCCACCGCGATCCACAAGGACGGTCTTTTTCGGATTTGGCAGTTCTCTCCTTAGGTTCAGACAAAAAGGCGCATAACCAGTCGATCGGTTCGCAGTCGATCGCAATGCAAAGCCGATTTTCATAGGGTAGGTATCCCAGTCCTTACGTCTTTCAGAGAACGCAACAAGCATGTTCTTGATGTTGTGATTGACTTGCTCCGTGAGGTTCAACTAAGCATAGTATGTTGTGACTTCCTTTATTCATCCCTCGCAGCAGAAGAGCTGTCATCATCATTATTGAGCCTCCTCACGAGCTGACGCTTGGCCTCGTGGCAGTGCTGGCTCACCCTTTTTTTCTTTCTTCTTTAGTTCCATTAAAGCCTTTCATCTGGCAAGACGTGTTCTTTACTTAACGCGAGCTGCGCCGCAGCAGTAAGGCTCAGAGGTTCAACATATGGCGCCGAAAACGAGGGACCTTTGACGACGTCAACATCATCGACGTTAGGAGCTGCAACACTTCGGAAGACGGGGTCTGCGATCTTGGCGAGATGCATCGACTGCGGGTGGCAGAATGGAACGATATCTTAGACAACGCCACAGCCTGCGGTCCCAACTGAATCCGTGGCGGAAGACCACTTGTGAGGAAATCAAGCCATCATGGCAGCAGCAGTAAGTGTATTCCTGGACCGAATAAGCTCATTTTATGGTCAGATGGAGAAAGTGGATGAGGCAATTTTTGAAGAGACACCAGACGACCTGTTGCTCAGCGAGACGTTAGACGCTGGAGAATACCATGACAAGGTTGTTACTCTCACAGCGAATCTATAAGTCAAGGTGAATGAACGTCTGGCTCCTCCAGCCACACTCCTTACGAACGTTCACCCGTTATCATCTGGTAAAAGCAAGCTTTCCCAGCTAGAACTCGTAAACTTTGATAGTAACCGCAGACTATGGCCGAGATTTTGGACGCAGTTTACATCAGCAGTCCACAATAACAGCGAGTTAAGCACAGCTGACAAGTTAAAATACTTGCACAGTTTGGTTACCGAAGTGGCCGTGTCGGTCATATCGGGATTACAAGCTGCCGAAGAGTGCTATAAAGACGCTATTGAAATTTTCAAGAAGAGTTTCGGAGATAAACAGGTCATTATGCACGGCCGTTTCCAAGGTTTGCTGGATCTAAAGCCGGTGTCGTCGTCAGCAGACGTTCGTAAGCTGAGGCAACTTTACGACAAGGTACAGGTTCATACTCGAAGCCTCAAGGCGCTTGGCACAAGCTCGACAACTGATTGCTCCATGCTTCGGGAAATCCTGCTAAGAGTTCTGCCGACGGACATGGTGCTGCGTTTCCACGAGATGCACAAGGACTCCTCGTCGGCTGCATCCTCTTCGAATACGCAGGACAAT